CCCGTGGCGGCTGCAGGCTGGGAACGGGCTCTCCTGGGGCCGAAACGGGTCCATTTCTGCCCGTGATACCGGGGGACAACTTAGCCAAGACCTACAGCTATCAGATAATTTTCTATTACCGATTCCCGGTGCCCCCACAGCCCCGACAGGGAGGAGCAGCTTTCTGCACCTCTAGCATTTGCTCGTTGTTAATTTGCTCACTGTTAAACGAGTATTTTAATACCTCGTACTTAAAAGTTCTTAGGTGTAAAAAGAAAAAAAAAAAAAAAGAAGCTTACCATTTTTTTCAAAAAAATAAAAATATTGATTTCGGTTTAAAATCGCTACTTGTCTCACATAAAATAGCTCTTACAGCTTCTACACAGCCGTTTTCAATGCCCACAGCACCAACAGCCCCCGCTGATAGTCCTGCATTAAAGCTGCGGTAGGTTGTAGCAATAACACCCACCGGTTCTCACTTTAAATAAAAGCCTCTGTCAGGACAACCTCCGCAAATAAACTTTTTCTTCCTATCAAACTATTAACGGCACGACACCTCTTCCAAGTTTGGTTGTTTTGTTTTTTTTTCCTTCTTTATTCTGCTGAGCAGCGTTCGCTCTAGTTCAAAATGTTATTTTCCAATCAGGTCATTGAGATATTTAAGAGAAATCCCTCAAACTTCACAAAACAGCATAACGTCTCGACTCGGGTTCAAACACCCTCCTGGGACTTTCCGGCCTGGAAAGTCCTTTGTATTTATCCTCTCCTCCCTCCGCTCCCCCCGTCCCACCGTCTGCGGGTTCAGACCCGATTGCGTTTAAATTAGGCGAAGTGGGGGGGCGGAGCCCTCACTCTGTGCCCAGGCGGGATCAGCCCGGCTCTTCATCTTCCTCCCTCTCTGGCCAGCACTGACTGCAGGTAGTTTTGGGTTTGTTTGTTTGTTTATTTGTTTTAAGGAAATCGCTGCCTTCTAACGAAATCTCGCCGGAGCTTTCCTACTTTCAGAGCTGACCGCCAGAAAAAACCCCGCCCGGGTTCTCACCAAGTCGCTGATGGTCTGGAGGTGCCCCCGGCCCTCGGCTCAGCCCGGACTTTGCTGCCCGGCATCGCCAGGCTAACGGGCACCGCCGGTCCCCGCATCCCCCGTGCTTCTCCCCGCCAAAAAACAAAAAAAAAAAAAAACAAAA